TTTTTATTTTTATAATTTTAGTCATAGATTTTGTTGTTAATTTTTTTCCAAGAAAATGAGGTGACCATTTTATTTTTATCATAACTCCGCAAGTTTATGAGCTACGAACTTTAAAAAAAAGCATTTAAAAGGCCTTTTCAAGCACTTTAAAAACGGTCATATTCATTTACTTAGAAAAATTGTGTTCTTTCGCCATTATTTTACGGTAAAATGTAGCAGATTAGTTTTCGAAAAATAAAAAAAATCACTTTTACAGAGTGATAATTCGGTTATTATTTAACCTAGAGTAATCAGCAAAAACTGAATCGTTTAGTTATTCCAAAAGCATCATTTTTGCTTTAGTTGTTCTTTATTAGTTATTTTTAGTTTTATTTTGCTTTATTTATATTATTAATATATAATTTTTGCGCGAGTTATTTATAAATAATGGCAGAAAAATATGCAGTTTTTAGATGAAAAATCAACATATTCAATCCGAAATAACTAGGAAAATATTAATTTTCTGAAAAAATGTCGTAGAATATTTTTTGCTTAGAATTCGTCCGTTTATTGATTTTTGCAATTAAAATGGGTGATTTATTTTTCACCCTCGAGAAGGTGTGGCACTCATCCCAGATCGCTACTATGTAACTTTTGTTTCTTACATATATCTCTATCCACTGTTAAAATTTCACGTCAATCGGTGCAGGTGTTCAGAATTCGGACCCTAAAACCTTCCCTTACTGGCCTAATACTCTAAACCCAATTTAAATAACCTAACCAACTGAAAAAATTCACACAATATCACACAATAATTGTTTTTCTGAAAATCAATTTTCTGTGTTAAAATAGGGCCATATTGTAAACACAATACCTATCGAAAGAAGCCAGGTATTCTATGTAATGAAAATACCCTAAATAATATTATATTGTCATATCTCCAAAACACAGTGTTACCACATGTTTACAGTGTTAAATGTACAGGACAATGTGTGTATTTTCATACATTAATTCAATTTTCGATATTAATTAGCTGAAATTTCAAAAGAATTATCTGATTAATCCTGACAGACAAACAAGTTGGTTATATGTTGGGTTATATGGGAGTTGTGGTAAATTTTGCGCCATTATGAATAATTAAATATTCTAATATAAAATCGGACGCTAAACAGAGAGAACAATAATTATAATATTATTCTAATTATTATAAATTTTGTATCAATATTTGGTAAACATTTTCAATAATTAAAATTAATATCGGTCATATGGACGCCCAAAAATAATTATTTCTCTATTATAAAATATATGTGTTTTAATTAATTCGTAAAAACTTATTTAAAAAAATAGATGCAGTACGTTTCTAATGAGATTTTTTTTATAATCTACGAATTATTTTTTAACTACCTTAAAAGTCTTTTTTATGTGCTGTAATATTACTGAAAAATTTGATGAAGCCATTCAATTATACAGGGTTAATCACCACATACGAAACAGAGTATTGTAGCTAAACAATTAGATTTTCACAAATTGTAAGTTTTGGGTTCGTTGAAGGACTATTAGAGCTACAATTTAAAAATATTTTCACAAGATACAGAGTGTCCAAAATAAATCAAAATATTATAGGTAGTTGTATTTTTTTAAATGAAACGCTCTGTATATTATTTTATTTTTAGATTCTACGACTGAAATAAAGGTAAATTTGACTAGTGTTTATCACACTTAAACCTTACCGTTTTTGAAATATATTCAATTTTGTGAAATTGTAGTAAAATGTTTAAAGTTTCATTTCTCCAATTTCTCTTTTCTATTTACTGAAATTTATTTATTGATCAAGTATTGTGTTTCAATAATAAAAATAATACTACCTTATACAGAGTGTCTAAAAAAATATATTGAATAATTACTAGCTTTAAACCGCAATAACTTGTTTGTTTTAAATGGTACACCCTGTATATTTTACGAGAATCAGATGACCAATTTAATTGTCTATCAAATTGTGTCATACCATATTTTACCTGTCTCTTTCAAGTTTTCGTAGAAAATGCTATTTCATAGAATTTAGATCTAATTTATCAATATAACAATGGAATATTGCCATTTTAGATTTTTTTAAAAGCAACAAAATATACAAGTGCTAAAAACATTTATATTGCAAACTCATTTGGTTATAAAAAGAAAACTATTTTTAAATCTTTGTAAAAGAGTATACCAATTAAATATACCACCATTATTTCCGCCCAAAAATGAGTTATTTCATACTTAATTGTTTTAGTTAATCAATTATTCTAAATAAATATGAATTTGAATCAGAAATTAATATAATAATCAGTTATGAAAATGGACTCTGTCTCTGTTTTATGAAATAAAATTTATAAGGTGTTACTTTTTACCACACTGTCTAATACACAGAAAAAATTCAGTTTTTTAGTATTTGGAGAAGTTATATTGATAAATGAGGTGTAAATTATAAGAAAATGCATTTTCTAAGAAAACTTGAGGAGATAGGTAAAAAATTGTATAATACAATTTTATAGACAATTAAATCGTGCATCGTGCATGATTTTCATAAAATATACAGGATGTTCCATTTAAATTAAACAAGTTATTGCCGCTTAAAACTAGTAATTATTTAAAATAATTTCTTATACACTCTGTGTAAGGTAGTATAATTTTTATTATTGTAACACAAAATTTAGTAAATAGAAAAACTTCAGTACACTATTTGGTTTTAAAAATTTAAATACGCCTAGAGATATGAATCATTAAAACTGCTGAAAGATAAGAAAGATTAAAATGCGATAAACCTTAATCAAATTTACCTTTATTTTAATCATAGAAACTAAAAATGTAATAATATACAGAGTGTTCCATTTAAAAAAATACAACTGTGATATTTTTATTTATTTGGGACACTCTGTATCTCTATATTTTTAAATTGTAGCTCTAATAGTCCTTCAACAAATCCAAAATTTACAATTTATAAAGATCTATTCGTTTAGCGACAATACTCCGTGTATGTGGTGAATAACCCTGCATTTAATACAGTAATAAAGATGACCTAGAATAATTGTTAATTAAAACTTACACTCACGCAATCTACTTCTATATTTGTAATATAAGTATACATTTGCGAAATTAAAAAAACACACACCGCATAGCAATAGTTCTCATTGCACTGTTAGTTTTAGAAAATATCAAAATCATTAAATATTTAGTTCTTTTACTTTAATCCTACCTACCTATTTATATATAAAAAATAAGTAGAATTGCAATGATATTAAAATAATAATTAATAAGTAATAAATTTCGAAAATATCCAGGAATAATTATATCTATTTTCTCTTTGAACTATTGGTATTATTTTACTATTTTTAGTAAGCGTTTCTTCTAAATTCACCCAGGAGTTAAAATGAAAAGTAAACTTCCTATGTGATTTTCAAAATACATTTAAGATTTTTTTTTTTACAAAAAAATGTTTACTGACTCTGCTCCTAATTACTATCCCTGTGGATTTATTTAAATTTGTATTATTAAATAAAACACAACAATGATATAAAAATGAAAACTACTCAGCAAATATTTTTCCAAACATGTCTATAACACAGGAATGAATATAGTCAACAGTTTTTTTACCTAGTCAGAGGCAGGTACACTGACTTGACTAATTTCTAACTTTCATTGGTTAATTTTCGTTGGTTGATTTAGAAAATATTCTACACTGTTTATTTTTACTATTTCATGTCCATATATTTTTATTAAAATCAAAATTAATTCAATTTGGATATTAGTGTAACATTAAGGTTATTATTAAAATCAATGTTTTGCAAGTTAGCTAATACGCTTAAGCCTCTAGCTTACAGCTTTCGGTGCCATTTTCATAATAAATCCGATTAAGAAATCAATTTTAAGATTAAATACAAAATTACATTTATAAATAAGCTGGTCGTAACATCAATAAAATATCTTCATATTCTGTATAATTTTTAAAAGTAGCTACTAAAGTTTATTGAAATCTACTCCCTGTAAGGTCATATATAATATCAGAAATATATGAAATACATAATAAATGCCCAAATGTTAAGTACCGCCATGTCTCAAACGGATCGACCGTTAAAAAAGCTAGCTGCGAAAGCGCCGAAGTCATGATTACTAAATCCCTCTTAAGATGGCCAAGACTCACTAACGCAGCGCCACGTATGCAGGATGCAAGAAAGGCGCCTATCAAAATTCTTCTTTACGGTAAGCTTGTAGAGTGTAAAAAGAAACCGAGTGGAAAACTGAAAAGGTACAAAAATATTTTCCATGAAAACTTAAAGGGGATAAGTATGCAGAACCAGTGGGGGGAAACAGCGTACAATAGAACGCAATGGAGAATAATTGTTAACAACACCAACCGAAAAAGTAAAGAGGCAATAATGTAATGTGATTTTTGAATTTGCGGAGAGCGGAAAAGAGATAACATCACGTATCGGGCTTTTCAGTCATAGAAAAGCTTATGAAAGAAAACGCTTTGGGTAACCATCTTCTGATGCGTGTCAAATACTCGTCAGCGAGTAATGGCAATGATGATCTGCCCATGATGATAACATAACTTACGTTGAGGTAAATTTCTGTAATATTTACAAATTGTATTTCATATTTTCAGATTTAAGCCTTTCATACTATATAACAAATACCTACATTATAATTTTTATATTATTTATAGTATAAACACATATGTATAGTATAAACCATTTATGTAAGAAATAAACATGGCCAACTTTAAATTAATAGCTAGTTATTTTTTTGTTTTTTTTTCTTTTTATTCTTGGCTTTAGGTCGTTGGGGTTGTAAAGATGTTACTGGATTTATTATGCTATTTATTTTTATACCAATATTACTTATTAAATCAACATTTTTTTACAACTTACTGTCGTTTCTATTAAGAAAATGGCACTTTTAGCTTAGGTAGCTAAATAATTTACATAAAAGCACTAAATACGCCCAATATTTTAAGAAAAAAAAAGAGGTACCGAACATACATCATAATCGTAATCGTAAGGATAGGCGTTCAGACTGGGCTCTCTTGGAGGTAATTCTGGCACTTCCTTGATGACATTTTCCATACTTTGAATATTTCCTACTCTGCAAATATAGTCCATGTGCTCCTATACAAAATTAGCCGTCAAATATAACGCCAGACTAATGCAGTAAATAAAGTTTTTCTTAACATTATGTATTTTTGTATTCTTCTAGTCTTTAATAGTTATAAATTAGATATTGTTATTGAATAGATATTGTTTCCAATTCACTTAATACACAGGGTGGTCCGAATTGTAACGAAAAACTTGAACAGCATATTCTGCAGATAAAAATAAGTATAAACGTTTGTATATCCTAAAATGCTTAGTTTCGTCAAGATACAGAGTGTAGAAGTTTCATTTTTGTTTCGATTTTTTACAAATAATTTCTGAACTAACGTCGATAGTTGAATAAAAATTGGTGTTTTGGGTTTTTTTGACATCAGAAATTTGATTTTGATGTCAATATATGACTCCTACTTAGAGGGCTCCATCTACATATTATTTAAATGATTTGAAGTGTAATAACGTTTCGTCCGTACCTGTATAAAACTACTGAGTAAAAAAATTACACTTACGACCTTTTTTACGTAAAAAAGGTCTCCTGGTAAAAATCGCTAAAAGTAATGGTTCTCGAGATATTTGGAATCGAAATTATTAATACCTCCAATCATTGGCATAATGTTTCTATGCCAAAAGTTCAACAAACACTGTTTTATCATAATTTTTTTCGAAGAAAAATTTATGACTAATTTAGAAAAATAATAAGCTCCCAAATTCATCATTTCAGTCAAATAACTACCCAGCCAACATGTTTATTCTTTGTCAGTGATAACATATATTGATCATTTCTATTTCAAATGTCTTAAGAACGGTTGTACGTAGTGATTTTTCCCAAGAGACATTTTTTACGTAAAATATGACGAAAATGTATACTCTTTCATTCAGTAGTTTTATACAGGTACGGACGAAAAGTTATTACTCTTCAGAAAGAACAGTTAAACGCATGAAGGTAGCGTCTCCTACAAGTAGGGGTCATATTGACATTGAAATGAAATTCCTCATGTCAAAAAACAACCAGACAACATAAATTTATAAGAACTTTTTTACTTATTTTTATGTGCAGAATATGCTGCCGAAGCTTCCCGAATACAATGCGGACCACCCTGTATATTTTGAACCAATTTCGTTACAGCCATTTGTAAAACTTTTTTTGAGATTATTCCTATAATTATATTAAACAATTCTTTTTTTTAAATATATATGTATATAATCTTATACTTAAAGACTTATGAACTTAAAAATATATTTTAAATAACTTTTAAATACTTAACAAATTAATATTTTTACATTTGAAATTGCCATAGTGAAAAAAATATGTAAGGTGTACCTATCTTATTTAGACAATATATTAAATTAAGAATCTTTTATTTTCTTTAAATAATAATATATAAACATAAATTAATTGGTAATTAGTTACTGGGTTAATTTAGTAAAAAAATATTATATATTAGTTAAATTAACTGAACAGTTATTTCTTAACAACTGCCAATCATATATTTTGAAATTATGACAAATGCGCATTTTACGCAATAATATATTATACTCCAATCTCTTGTTGGAATATTTATCACACACATCATTAAAAACATTATTAGAGAAAAAATAATTATATTTGTTATTATTTTCTCAAAAAAAAACAGAAAAATAAAATAAAACTAAATAAAAAATAAACTACATCGTCAGCTTCTCCGGCAAATTAATGGCAAGGTTGAAGAGAGTTCGTTTTCGAGCAATAAAAAAGTTTGTATGAAAAATTCCGCAAAATATAAATAAATTTATAGGTAAATAGGTTTTAGTTTTATACTCGTATGGTCGGGACAGATTGTAGCTCGCGGCCATTTTTATAAAAGGAGAATAATGGAAGTAAATTTTGTTTCCTTTTTTCGGAAAGTTCGATTTATAGCGGAGTATACGAACTAGTGAAAACGGTATATTAATAGAGAAAAATAAGAATATATGAGTTTTATAATAAAGTTTTTTATTAATACGTTATTCCATTTGTATAAAATAATTTGTTACTTTTAATCGAATTTGGAAATAAGTTTTATACATAATCTATTTTTAAATATTATACGAATTAAAAGTTTGTCCATATACCATCAAACTAAAATTTACTATGAATCTGCAGGGTGCTACAAAGAGGGTAGAAGCCAATGTTCACCAAGATTCCATCAAAAAAGTTTTAAAAATTTCAAGGATTGCTGAGTTTTTTGGAAATAAAGGATCTTTTTGAAAATCAATTTATAAATATTTAATCTATTCGCCGTTACAATATTGATAAGGTTTCAAACTTAACATTAACAATGACGTGTGGTAAAGAATTGAATACGAAAAATCAAATGCAATAAAATGATAAAAAATAATATAAAAGAGATAATATAAATATAATATAATAAAACAATTAAATCATTTCCTCGAAAGGTGGATTGGCAATGGTAGAGCAGTATAATGGCCACCGAGGCTCTTAGACCTGTCGCCAAGGAACGGGAGGCGGACATTACTTGACGTCATTTGTAAAAGTGAAATCAATACATCCCAACATTTACAATAAAGAGTACAAAATGCATTCGGAAATATAAGAAGAAAGTTCAAACAGCTATAAATAAAATTAAACGAAAAATAAATTTGTGCAATAAGGAGGGTGGTAACCCTTTCGGACATGTAGAGCATGAGAAATTCTTTTGTAGAAGTTGATTTAGAAAGTTCAAACAGCTATAAATAAAATTAAACGAAAAATAAATTTGTGCAGTAGGGAGGGTGGTAACCCTTGCGGACATGTAGGGCAACTCTTTTGTAGAAGTTGATTTATTTGTAATAACTACGATTAATATTATGCATATTATTACATCGCACACTGAGATATCAAATTCACAATAAAAAAAGTTAAAAATAATATGTATCTGGATACTGTTTATTTAAATCTTCCAATTGGCTCGATTTTTCTTATTCGAGGTTAATAGCGCTGATCAATATGTTATTATTGTTATAAGTATAATCAGATTAAATAATTAAAATAACCAGAGTCGGACTTGAAACTATTTTAAATAATAATTAAATAGTTTTGTTGTCGTTAATGTATTCAAAACAAAAAAAAGTAGAAAGTGTGGCATATCATTGTACTCGGGAGTTCGAGTTCTTTCAAAACCTGAAATAAAAAATGCAGGTCCATATTTAAAAAAATTAAGTTGGCCTCTGTATTTCACAAATTGTCAGCTAATTTGAATATCTAAGAAAAATATTATTTTATGATTTTCTGAAAAGTAACGATAGGAAAAAATTAAATCGATTTTCAAAAAAATCCGTTTTTTTTTCAAAAAAATTCAACAATTCTTGAAATTTTTAAAACTTTTGATGGCATCTTGATGAACATCCCGAAACGCAACTTTGCCCCAATTTAACCATCTTCGTATCTATTACGGTTTCCGAGATACCAATGCTCGTACCCCCAATTTGTAGCACCCTGTATAAATATTTTGCCTAATGTAATATTTAACTACAGTCAAATCTCCGTAATTTTTATTATTTTCCAGTTCTTACATTTACCGGAATATCGATAGGTTTTTAGGAAAAGCTGCTAATATAAATGTTTTACTTTATAGATAGAGAATATGATAAAATGTGTAACGCCTTGTGTATTTCGTAGATGGTAGTGTAATGAAAATAAGGCAAACTTAACAAAGTATAAAAAGTGAGAAAACGTACTACTGTGTGTGTGATAGCTGAAAAGTTTAGTAATTTGTGCTGAGCGTGTATTTGTTCGTAAGTGCTGTGAGAGTTAGTTAGCTACACACTAACTACTTAAATTGATTAGAAAAGAAAAATCAATACTACCAACACCATTAAACAGAGTACTTATTTAACATCACGCTTCAAAACAAGATGTTTCGGAAACACAACATTTAAACGTCTACATTTTATAAAAATATTTTTAGTTAGAATTTTACATTCTTTTTAAAAAGCGATATTAAGTAATAGAAAGATGTCAAAATTGGCTAAGAAATTGCTAAAATAATTAATATACACTCACCGGCACAAAAAACGGGAACCTTAAAATTTTTATGTATTTTAAAGTTTAATATATTTTGCTCTAATGGGCCAATTTTGACCCTGATGATGACTTTTTTTGGGCCAATGATGACCTTTTAAGCAATCTGTAGATAAATTATTTGACTTTTTAGTATCTTTTTCTAAATTAAAAATGAAAATTTCCATCTGTTGGAAAACAAAATGTCGTATATATATTTTGGTGTAAGTTTGAAACACCCTGTGGAATATGTTAATGAAGCAAGAAATTTAAAAATGATTTAATCATCTAGGTACGTCTTTTCTTGATAGTTCGTTGTTTGATTCGTCTCCATAACTTTATTTATATTGTAACGTGCCAAAATTTCACTAAACTATTTTATTTCTTTTCTTTAATAATTTAACGCTAATTGATATTATTATTAGTCTGAAATATCGATCAGTTCAATTCAGTAAACCAAGAATAAATAAATCGTACTTACATGTTAACAAAAGTAATTATTCCATCCTTATTTTTAACTAAACATATTTCACACTTAATAACATTTTTTTTGCAGCACAAAACTAGTTGATTTAATACAATTTAATATTTATTTTAGCCGAAATAGATAAAATAATTCTTTCCGCCGTTAATTCTGTTTATATACTAAATACGTAGGTTAGAAATTTTTGAATTGAACTGTCAAATATTTATTTATATTTTTATTAACATTAACTATTAGGCAACCCAAAATATACTTTAATAAATTGATTATATATTTTTGTATTTTATTTAATCAACAGTAATTATTGAGCCTATTGTCACTTAGTTAAACTCATTAAATTTATGTTGCTCTATTTTAATTTTTAGGTAGAATTTTCTAAGCATAATTGTCTTAAAAATATCGTATCGATCCGGCAAGTGAGTCATGCGCAATATCTCTAGATTGTTGTTATTTATTAATTTTTGAATGTTTTGATAAGCAAATTTCTATATAACTTTCATTAATCTCGTTAACTTT